GACTTTATTAAAGAGACCACAAATATGAGTTTGTAGGAGCTGGGCAGACCAGTACAGGATGCGGGGTGTGTGTGTGTGTGTGTGTGTGTGTGTGTGCTGGAGATGTCTCATCCATAAGCTCACCATGGGTCCAAGATCCGTGCTAAGGCAGTTAACAACAACAACAAAAATGCTGTTTCTTGTGTGCCTTCAAGTCGTTTCTGACTTAGGGCAACCCTAAGGTGAACCTTTTATAGGGTTTTCTCAGCAATATTCGGGCAACCCTAAGGTGAACCTTTTATAGGGTTTTCTCAGCAATATTCGTTCAGAGGAGGGTTGGCCATTGCCTTCCCCTGAGGCTGAGAGAGTGTGGCTTGCCTAAGATCACCCAGTGGGTTTCCATGGCTGAGCTGGGATTCAGACCCTGGCCTCCCAGAGTCATAGTCCAGTGTTCAAAATGGAGGACTTTTTTAGAATTTCTCTTGGACCGAAAGATGAGATGGAGGACTTATCCTGGAAAAGGAGGACCTCTGGACACCCTGCCTTCTCCCCATTTCCTTGTCCATACACCAGCTTTAAAACCCTCCCCAACAAATATGGGCTGTTCCATGGTGTGCTCTGACTTTTTCCTCCTCTTCTCTCTGCTTCCCCTAAATAGTGTGTGTGTGTGGAAGTTTGTTTGCCTTCAAGTCATTTCTGACTTAGGACAACCTTAAAGCAAGCTTATAATGGGGGTTTTCTTGGCAAGTTTCATCAGAGGGTTTTTGTTTTCTGTTTTTTGCCATTGCCATCCTTTGAGGCCGAGAGAGTGTGAGTTGCCCAAGGTCAGCCAGTGGGTTTTCATGGCTGAGTTGGGATTTGAACCAGAGCCCTAGTCCAATGCTCAAACCACTACATACTGTAGAATGGTTTTTCTCATTCCTATAAGGCAGATTGCGATCTGTCTCCCCTCCCTCATGCCAGATTTTAAAATACTTTCTCAAACTACTTCAACAATCTGTGTCATGACTCTCTTGGACTTGTGTTACTCGAAAGTTGCTGGCTTTTATTTAGCAAAGTTTTTTTTAAAATCCTTATTTGGCATTATATTTGGTGTAATCTGTTCTCTGTTTGGAAAACATAAGTAGGATTCCCTAAATGTTCAGTGCCAAATCTCCCCCTTCCCCCAAACTAACAATGAACAGACTTTTGCTATGGAATGTATACAGGAGTAGCTGTACAATAACATCCAAAATCCACAAAGCAGTGTTACCTTTATTTAACCAACCCCCAAGTGTGTTTTTGTTGGCTGAATAAAGGCATTGCTGTTTTGTCAGTTTTGGATGTTATTGTACTATACTATAGCTATGGCATTGAGAATAAACTGGGTACAAAGCAGTTACAGGGAGGGGGGGGCGAGCGAGCAAGTAAGAGTTCTTTGTTCTTGTCAAAGAGGAGAGCCAAGGCAGGCACAATCTACTGGAAATCCCCTTTGCACAGGCCCTGGACAAATACAAATGGGAGTAGCTGAGAGCAGAAATGTCAATGGGTCTTAGTAGGAGAACACTTGGTGGACCCTGAGACTTGTAGCATTGCAAATCTCTCTCAAGGTTTGAGAGTGAAGTGGCTTTGTCTCAACCAAATAGGATCAAAAGTTGCAGCAATTTTTGCTGTTCCTGCATATTGACAAACAGCCTGGTGGCACCTTTAAAGCAATGAGTTTATTTTAGCATGGATTTCTGTGGTTCACAAGTGCATCCAGAATTAAATCTGCTAGTCTTAAAGGTGCCACAAAGCTCTTTTCTGAATTTGCTTAGGGGTCTTACATTACAGTCAAATCTGGTCTTGCAGCTTCCTCAAGGTGTATTAATTCAGTGCTGAGGTGCGAGTGGTGTGTATGTGTGTGTGTGTGTGTGGTTCTTCTGTGCTGAAAACAGAGAGGTTTCCTTTTGCCAGCACCATCCTTTGTCTACTTAGAAGTAAACTTGATTGAATTCACTGGGTTTTAGCTCCAGGCAATTGGATATAGGGTTGCAGCCATAATGTCTTCATGTTGCTTGTAATTGTGAGTGGTCTCAGTTGATAGTGTTCTCTGAATCTTTACCCCCAGCAGTATTTTACTCAATATTTAATACAGTTCAAGAGGTTTCCTAAGCAAATTGATTGCACAATAGAGTGGTATGTTGCTTTGAATTAGGTACAGAGGAGTGGATTGCCAGGGCTGTATGCTCTTAGCATTGTCTCCTAAGGAGCTTTCAGTAATTAGTGAAGTGCTCTGTTTAATGCATTCACTTAAACCTTCTGGGTTCCTCAAGCCCAGGCTTGTAGCAGTATAGCTATACTTCACATTAACAGACATTTGACACTACTTTTAACTATTACAGCTCCATTGTCTGGAGGCTTGGGATGTGAAATTTAGTGAGGTGCTTAGAATTCTCTGAGCTACTACACTCCTCTGATTTATAATAGAAGTCTCTAGCCAAGAATTCTCAAATGTCTCACCATGACAGTTAGCAGCAGCACCAAACTGCTATAACTATATAGTGTGGATCCACTACAAATTTCTAGTGCTTTTAATAAAAGGAAATTGCCAATGCACTAATCTCTTTAGCCTATTGTAATACTCTCCTTGGGAAAGGTAGCTGAATTGTTGATGAAAAGTCTCCTGAGTGGAGTAATTTATTGGAATGAATATTTTATTGTACCATGGTTTAGTCTCTTCCTATATAAGAAAGACTGGGGTGGCTGTTAGAACTTTCTGGTACTGCAAGAGAGCTAGAAATTGGCTTCAGTGTAATGCCGAAGACTGGATGAGAACCCTAAAGAAAATACAAGCATTTGAGTCTTTGCATGACTTTGTTAAAGACATTAGATTTCCTGCTTTAGCAATAATTTATTATATTTACTTATCCATCTTGGTATTTCTCTTTATTCCCTTGCAGAACATTACAAACACCACTGGTTCCCTGAAAAACCCTTCAAAGGCTCTGGCTACCGCTGTATCCGTATCAACCATAAAATGGACCCTATCATCAGCAAAGCAGCTAGCCAGATTGGACTCAGCCTCCAGCAGCTATATCAACTCCTGCCCAGTGAACTCACACTGTGGGTGGACCCTTATGAGGTATCCTACCGCATTGGTGAGGATGGATCCATCTGTGTTCTTTATGAAGCATCTGCAGCTCCTGTGAGCTCCTATGGGATGCTCACCTGCAAAAATCAGATGATGCTGGGGCGGACCAGCCCTTCCAAAAACTACATGATGACAGTCTCCAGCTAAGCACCCCCAGTTGTCTTTACACTGCCAAGACCTGGGCTACTGTATACCTCACCTGAGGATGTATTTTTTAAAAAATGAAGAGCTATTTATATTTTTTTAAAAAAGAGAAAAAATCCAAAATGAAATCCAATAGCAGGCACCACTTTTCTGTGGAGTGGTGTTGAGGTGCCTTTATAAAGCTGTTGCAAGCTTGTAAGTTAATTAAAAAAAAAGAATGCCAATATCTACCTAATTAGTGTTGGATGACAATTCTGGAAGGTTGATCTGCCTATGTGGGAAATGCAGGGTTGGAAATAAGTTGGGGGCGGGGCATGGCACAGCACTTTTCAGCAATGACTCACTATGGGGTAAATATGACAACTGTGAATTTACAGGCCACAGTGCCAGGATGGTAGTACTTCAATGATCAAGCCACATAGATCGATTGGGATGTCATGACCTCATTCTAGCCATGGTGCTTCTCTCTTCTCAAAAGCTCTCTTTTCTCTATGTTACACTGAGGAGTTGCTTCATCACCAACTTCAGTTTCTGTCCCAAAGTGAGCAACTTCTTCCACTTTTGTGATGGGAGAAAGATTTTGCTAAAGCACCCAGCCACAATTATAACCACTGATGGTCTATTGGGTGGTGGGTTTCTAAGTGCCAGCCCATCATTTTTTTTTTGCACAAAATTGACTTCTTTCTGCACTTCATCCTCATCCTGTGTTTCATGCTCATGCAAAAATCCAGTTTTCATTTGAAAATGTGGCTTCTGAAATTAGAAGGGACATTTCCTTGGTAAAGAGATCCAGGGTCTGGGCTACATAGCTGTGTGGCCTGTTACCTTAGCGGTCAGCTCCCATAAACAAAGTGCAATGGCCAGGCTAATAATGAACTAAATCTACCTGCTGGGAAAATGCCTTTACCAGGCTTTTGTCTGTTCTACTGCCTTTATCTTGGCCTTTTAAAATTCCTGACAATGCTGCCAATAACTGCTGAGAGGTGATTAAAAAACCTAGGGCACTTAATTGCTTTCTATTTTTGAAAACAACAACACCCTGTTGTCTTGGCTCTACTTTGAATAATATGGTGTGGTTGGCTTTTCTCCTACTTTTTACTCATCCCCAGAGCTGCTGCTCCTCTGCCTTTTGTGAATTGAGTTCTCAGATGCTGTGCAATATGTTTCCTAAAATTTGGGCACTCTAGAGGAGGAACAGTTTCTATGGGGCAGTTTCC